GACCTTCCTTTCCACAGGTGAAGTGCCCTACAGTTCCGTTGGTGTTCATACACAAAAATCTCCTAGGCCCTGACACTGCAGAGCTGCTCAATGTCGTTACACACCTAAGAGCCAGTGGGATTCATAAACAAAGTGTTTCTGCCCATCTTATCTGGAAGCTCTGAATATACTTATCTCCCTCACCACCAACCAAAGATGGCAGCAGAACTCCCCTCCCCCATCTACCAAATGCCTAGTGCTTAGCACTCCCACCCAGCATGTAGAGACCCAGGTTTAAATCCCTGTTCTGCAGAAAGGACGTGGTTATAGGGTCTCCCACCTCCCATGTGAGTGCCACTAATTACTGTGCTTGGCCATAGGGACATGCTTGTTTTGCCTTTCTGTGGCTTAATACACAGTAGAAGTTGAGATACATACAGCAACACCAAGTTCTCCCATCATTAAGGCATTCACCTAGGCATTAGGAAACCCAGTGTCCGTCCTCCCTCTGAAGCAGGCAGAGTGGGGATTTGAACATGGGCCTCCCACCAGAGCGCTGCAGCTGTCCAGCTATTAGGGGAGCACCCACCACTACCACCTCCTTGGTGTTTCACAAGAAAGGAGTGACCTGCATTAAGCACCTAAATCCAGCAGAGGATTCCTGGTGAAGACTCCTCAGTGGAGAGCAGTGTCTCCCTCCAGCCCAGAATTCGGCAGCTTGCACTCTGAGAGGGAGGAGCTTATGCCTCAACCCCACTCCTCAGCATTTCCGACTGGCTCATTTTGCTAACTTCTTGGAATCCCATTTTCAGGTGCCTGGCTTCCAGTTTGGGGCAGTGCTGTGTTTGGAGTGAGGTCTAGCCATAGGTCTAGACAGAAATGAGGGGGAAAAATGGTTTCTACACCGTCAAGGCCCTACACTATTTAGCTCTGTTCTGCAACACTAATCCTCATTTTCACTCTTCTGAGGTTGGCATCATTTACCAATCATCAATCCTCACCTCCCTGAAATGCCTCTACAACATTTCCAAATGTCCCTTGAAAATTCCAGAAAAGCCACTACCATATCCACCTTAACACTCACCTCCGCCAGGATGTCAAGGAAGCCGTCAATGATGAGGCAGTGAGCTGAGGGTTCCTGCTTATTGTTTGAGAACTTGCTGGCTTTACTATTACCTCATCTTCACAGCTTTGTGTCTTCAGACTGTGAGCCTTGAGGGGGGAGGAGGAACTATTCTTTTACTAGGTATCTGTACAGTGCCAAGTACAAAGGGGTCCTCTTACTAACTGGTGCTCCTAAAGCAGAACATTTCACCGCAGTCCTCTCTTCGGTGAGGCATGGCCTCACACTAGGGTACGAAGGCCCAGATTCTGAAATGTAGTCAGGTGTTGAGGATCAGTCTTTCAAGGCCGATGTGACATAGATAGTGAAGACCCATTTTCCAAAGTGGCTTTGGCACGTAGGAGCAAAATTTTAATTGAAAATTTTAAAATCTAGGCTGTTATACCTAGGAACTACAGAAGGAGAGCGGATTGAAATCTGATGCCAGGACACAAACTTTAGAACTGATTAACACCACACTTAACCAGAGCAATGAGTTCAATGTTACTACATATGATAAATGATTCAGGAGATGACATGTTATTTTTGTGATATTTATATTACCACTTATACACACTGAAAACCTCTATCAGTGATCTCAGCTTTGCCCCACATGCCATAAACAGAAGGTGAGGTCCCACTGAAAAAGGGACTTCTCCTCCTGCTTCATTTAATAGGCTGCATTGCTTATGTATTTGTTTTATTCTGTGTCGTCAATGTTGCTAACACGTGTGATACACTTGAATTATTTCTCTTGTGTTTCTCTACCTTGTGTAAGAGCAGCCTCATGACAGAATAATACTTGAGTTGTTTTAGTGTAGAATCTCCATCTCTGGAGATATTTAAGAGCAGGTTAGAAAGACATCTACCAAGGATAGTCTAGATCAGGGCTACTCAACACGCGGCCCGCAGGTGGGAGCCAAACCAAAAAAGTAGTCAATAGAATGGTCTTCTGTTGATATGCGTTTTAGTAGTTAAATTCCTGGACTGTCGTTGCTCATTAACAGTCTTATGTGGTGGAAATTGGGTAAATGTTACATTTTATTAATATCAACAGAACTGACTTAAATGGGGCCTGTGTGTTGTGTAGTCTTGCCTTAATCTTTGTATTCATGCCCATCAGTGTGAAAGAAGCTATTTACATATATTTGCATATATATGCAACCACACTTAAGGTGCAACCCTTGGCATGTGCTGTGAATATCATCGTGGCCCCCGCGGCTTCCAAAGTTGAGTAGCCCTGGTCTAGATAGTACCGGGTCCTGCCGTGAGGGCAGGGGACTAGACTCAATGACCTCTCAAGGTCCCTTCCAGTTCTGGTGTTCTTTGCATCTATGCTCTGTATCCTCAGTGCCATTGTACTAACTTGTGCGGTCTGCTGTGGATGCATCCCATCATTCTTAGCAGCGTAGTAAACTGAGCCATGCTATGAATTCTTTTGCAGTGTATCATGGGAGCATTTTTCTGTCCTTTCTGTGCACCTGGGCAAAACTGGTGTTAGCCTGGCAACTCGACAAAATCAGTTCTGGTTTGGCATCAGTTTCACAATATTTTCCCCAACTGGTAGCAGGGTGAAGAGCCAAACAGGAGGAGAAACCTACACCAAACACAGGTTCCACTGCAACTCATTCTGGCAACAGGAAACAGATACGGGGCAGGGGATGCAGTAGCAGGCATTTCAGCAGTGGCTGAACATCATGGGAGAGAGGTGGCATGCTTTGTTAAGAGCACAGAAGCTGCATGCACAGCAGGAGGAATGGTGATTACTGATGCAGTTTTTTGTGGGTGATGAAGCTCCTGTTACAAGTTCTGGAGCAGGGCCACAAGCACACAGCAGTGGAACTGGGGCGGTCAGCAGTGGAGCCAGAAATACAATTGTTACTGTTTCATCTATGGGCAAGAAAGGTGACTTCCAGTCTCAGTGGAAGGAATAAGAGGAGAGCAAAAAAACATGACAGTGGGGAATTGTGGGATGGCATTGGAGGACTGGCAGCACTTGAGTGGCTCTAGGCTGCATACATGTTCCTGGGTGATTATGTAAGCAGGCCAGTCGTGCCAACCAACTTAAGTTTGATAGTGCCACTGCACTTGTGTGGGGTTGTGGTGTGCGGATAGGAGTTGAGTTAGCAGGCAGGTTTGCGTTATAACACGAGTTCACTTTACAGTAAAGACTGGTCCAAACAGCTCTTTATGTGAGTGCTTTGCTCTGCTAAGATGGGCTTTCACCTCTTTTTGCTGTTTGGTGCAAACCAAAAGGTGACCAACCTCAAAACACAGAGGCTACGTGTACACTGGCAGCTTCTTGCGTAAGAACTGTTTTGTGGAAGAGTTCTTGCGCCAAAGTCTTCCACAAGAGCACGTCTACATTGGCATGTGCTTTTGCGCAAGAGCGTCTATGGCAGTGTGGATGCTTTCTTGCGCAAGAAAGCTTTGATGGCCATTTTAGCCATAGAGGTTTCTTGTGCAAGAAATTCATGTTGCCTGTCTACACTGCCCTCTTGCACAAGAGCTCTTGCGCAAGAAGGCTTATTCCTTGTGGGGAGACGAATAACTCTTCCGGAAAAAGCCCTGTTTTCCAACGCTGTACTGTAAATTTACTTGCGCAAGAATGTGCGTGCAGTGTAGACACCCAGCAAGTTTTTGCACAAGAACAATTGTTCTTGCACAAGAAGCCGCCAGTGTAGATGTAGCCAGTGAGTGGGGTCAGAGGATGTTCTCCCCAGCCTGGCTAACATGCTTTTATGACCATTATATACTGGGTCAATGGTGCTCAGGGGCTGTAGTGTAAGAATGAATCCCTCTCAGACTCAAGGCCAGAAGAGATCCATAGGATCATCTAGTGTGACCACCTGCATAACACAAGCCCTAGTATTTCACCCAATCATTCCTGCATGGAGACCAATGGTGGCTGAAAGAAAGCCTGTCTTTTAGAATGACATTCCGTTTTGATTAAAGATGCCAACTGGGTAAGAGATTACTATAACTCTTGGTACTGCATGGTTAAATCCCCCCACTGAAAGACAAAGTGGCATAATTAAGCAAATAGAGTTCTGATTATGGAGTTTATTTTGCCATGTTAAATACTAGCTGGTAGGCTCTTTGGGACAGGGCCAATGAGCCACATTTTCAGCAGTATTGGGGGGCCTACATAGGCAGACGGGTGCCCAGTGGCATTTTCTTAAGCACCTGAGTGATTTCAATGGGAGTTAGGGGCCAGGAGCTTTTGAAAAGCCCACAAGGTGCCTATCTGCAACTTTCTGCACCTAAATACCTTTACAAAGTGGCCCCCACGTCTATAACTGGTGCTGGGAGAAAGATGACAGAGTAAAGAAAAAAAAATAGTCAACATGGAGCTGAATTTGTGAAAGGGAAGAACCACCAAACATCCACCACATTAGATTGTTTTGTTGGATTTGTGTGATTTGTATTGATCATTGATGTTCCTGGTGCAGAAACTAGAACATGAGCTGTAAGAAATGCCACGATCCTTTAAGACACTGCTGG